AGTTTAGTTTTGTAATGCCCCTACGGTCCCATTCTGAGGAGTGGAGTGCCTACCAGAAGTTGCCTGTGGCCTTAGGAGAGGAAGTTCCTTTAGAGTGTGGCCAGTGGCTGAGGAAGCAGAGCCCTTACCCAGGGCCTTGGCGGCTCCCCAGGGAAGGCCCCTTTTATTGCTTTAGCCCCTGGGCCATAGGTTGGGGCAGGGAATGCCTCCCTCTGGGTACAAAACTGGCATTCTCTTGCTTTAAGTATATATTCAAATTTTACCTAAGAGGAGACTTCCCTGACCACTGTATGTAAAATAGGAACACCCTCCACCTACCTGCATTCTCTCTTCTTCTTATCCTCTCTTTGTTGCTTTCCATAGCATTTATTACCATCTGACAACGACTCACTTATTGTTTACTTTCAGTCTCTATCACCCTAGAATGTAAACGTGAGGATCTGAACCTTTTAGTTTAGTTTAGTTTTGTAATGCCCCTACGGTCCCCTTCTGAGGAGTGGAGTGCCTACCAGAAGTTGCCTGTGGCCTTAGGAGAGGAAGTTCCTTTAGATTCCAGGTCTGAGCAAGTTTTGAAGCTCTTCCTTTGGGAACCTCATAGGGATGGGGAGTGCTGTGCTCTCTTTACAGAGTCCCCCCCCCCCCTTTGCTGCCTTTCCAAGATGCTCAGTTAGTTGACCTCCTAAATCATGGAGGAAAGGACCTTTTTAAGCAAGTGAATGAACAGGTGTAGAAGCAGGAGAAAGATCCACCAGAAGCCAGAGTCCCTGTACTGTTTGGATGCCACAAACATGTTTTTGATGGCAGGCTAAAGGGACCTGTGCACTAATGTGGCTAAGCAAAGATTCCTCCTAGCTGTGCCCAGCCTCTTTCTTCATGTCCCTTTTTTTCCTTCCCCTCTCCTTTCACCTGCAGTCTGACCCTTCCCCCCATCCATTTCCCAGGAAAATAAATCTCAGGGAGGAGGCAGGGAGAGTGGATCTCAGAGAACCCTTCTGAATAAATGTCTATATTAATGAATTATTAACTCAGCCACCCGTGACCTTAAACCTAGAAGCGGGAGCACCCAGGGCAGAGAGAAGAGCTGCTGAATCTTTTATTGGAGTCCTGTCAAAGGCAGCCGACCACTTGATCCCCTCCCCCTTCAGGAGAAAATAATATGAGAGGCAAACTTTTAAATTGTATGTCAAACGAAATCAGATAGAGGGTCTCCTGGACAGAATCCCCTTCTTGTTTTCCTGCCCTTCCTGCAACTCCCTTCTTGTTCTGCCTCTGGCTCCATTCTTTCCCTCCCAGCTAAGGGTACAATGTGCTTTCTAAGGATAATTTTCGGGGGGAAATGCTCAAGAAAATGATGAATTTGGGTAGTTAATTTATCGATCCCTACTCCTCTTTCCACTTGTTTTATTTTAGAGGTCATTAATCAGTGAAGAAAAACACCACCGCGTCCCCCCGTTTGCATTTAATACACTCGCGCTCCTTATTTATTCCTCTGGAACAAATTCCCAGCAAATATTCGCCCATCGATTTGGGAGCGATGGATTTCTATACAGGTTTGATCGCTTCCTAAGTGGTCGAAGTGATTTGTTTCTACAGGCTTCTAAGTATTAAAGAAGAGGGGAGCAGATGTGAGGGGTGCACGTCATTGCGGTCGGTGGACCCACTTTCTAAAAATCCCGAGAGGTGCAAGAGTGACCGTGACCAAGCGGGCCCAGGTTCACTTGGGTAAGAGGGAAGCGACCCCAGCGGCGCGTGTAGCTCCCCCGGGCCGCAGTGGTCCCCCTACGCTACCGCCCGCACCGGTGAGCCGGGGTGGGAGGACCGCGCTGATCTCTGCCCCAGCCAACCCCGCTCCTGGAAGTCCTCCTGGAAGTCACGGCCCGCGCCGTGGGCCTGCTCGGAAACGCCGGGGATGTTCAGACTCCCCATACACTTCCCCAGAGAGTTTTTCGCTCGTTCTCCGGCCTTCGAGCGCTCCCTCTAGTTTTTGCCTACCTCCTTCACGCGAGGTCCCTATGCCCTCTGCGCCCTAGGGTTTAGTCTCTTGGAGACCCGAGCGTGCCCGGGGCCGGTGGGGCGCGGGAGGGAGGACTCGAATCACACAGGGCACGTACGCCACTAGTAGGCATAGTGGGGGAGGGGTCTTCGCTCTTTTCTTCTTCCTTGGCCTCGGTAGCGAGGGGAGCCAAATCTCTCCCATGGTATCCCCACCCACCTCCGGTGATAATCCGGACGTTGTGGGTAAAGGTCTGACGAAGATGGAGAAGAGATGCACTTGGCATCTCACTGACTCGGGCTTGAATCTGCCACTATCATCCATTAATGGCGTGACCTTAGGCAACCTAGCCAACCTTTCTCACCTCAGTGGTCCCCATCCGCAATATGGGAATCACTGATAATGCCTTCTCCGCGAGCTTGCTAGTGAGGCGCCTACCAACAGTGCCTGGCACGTCCAAAGCTCTCATCAAGCGGTCAGCTAATCTCATTACGCATTCCTTCCCCTCACCCCCGCTCCACAGAGATCACAGGGCGGTCTCGGCCCAAAGCCCAGGAGAGAGCAGGGTGGGTGGGGATAAGGCTGCGTTCCCACCCTGCACCTCCAAGGCCAGGTTTTGGGGACAGGAACCTATATGTGACCTGCGGAGCAGCCCCGGGAAGCCAAAGGCAAACAGCTACGTCCGTGTCCACAGGCAGTTGTACAACCAGACGTAGCTCTGGATACTTGCCTCAGGGTGCCAAGGAGAGTGAGACAGCCCTCCCAGAAAGACAAACCGAGAGGGGGTCAGCTGGGCGGTGTGCAGACTCCGTTGCAGCCGCCTCCCAGCCCCGCGGCCAGGATTGAGTCCCTCCAAAGCAGCTGATCTTTAGAGACCCTCGGTCCCACGCCTCCCGGCTCCGCCAAGCCTGCCTTCTTGGCTGCAGACAGAGGGTTTCACTCCAGCGCGCAGCCCGCGAGCCCCGCCCCCAACTTTCTCCCCGGAGGATTTATGTTAGAGGTGGCGTGGCGGGCGAGTCGACTCTGGCACCCAGCAGCACTCCAGGCACAACTGAGCCGGGCAAAAGCGCAAACCCAGTCCTGGGACTCGGTCTACTCGCGGGGCGGCGCGCGCTTGCTCCAGCGCGTACACTCGAGCGAGTGCGGAGATGAATTCTGATTTCCGCGTTTCCACTGCTATCACGATCAGGGCACTGAGCCGGCACCCAGGAAAGACATATCAGGGACAGAAAAAGACAACAGGCGAGCAGGAGATGTCACGCCAAAAAAAGAGGGGGTGGAAGGGCGGAGGAGATATGTGTGCTGGAGAAGCACACGGGTTGTCTGTGGGTCCTGCGGAGTTAGAACTTCCTTCTTTCCTCTCCCCTCCCTTTCGTTCTTCTGGCTTTCCTCTCCCCTCCCTTTCGTTCTTCTGGCCAGCCTCCCGCCTCAACCCCCCTCCCCCTCCCTCTCTCTTCTCTCTCTCTCTCTCTCTCTCTCTCTCTCTCTCTCTCTCTCACACACACACACACACACACACACACACACACGTATTTTGTGCTGTCGTAAAACCCACGTGTCCAGTCGGGAGGCTGCCAAAGAGTGGAGCCGAGGAGCCGGGACGCGGCGGCGGCTGAGCGCAGCAGCCCACCGCAGCTCCGTCTGGCGCCCGCGTCCGCCCGCGCTCTCGCGCCCTCGGCGGAGCTGCTCCCGCGCCCCCCCGGGGCCGCCCCCGCCCTCCCCCGCCCGCCCGCGG